GAGAGGGAGAAGCAGGCTTCCCGCCGAACAGGGAGCCCGATGCGGGGCTCAATCCCAGGACCCTGGGATCATGACCCGAGCCAAAGGCAGACGCTTAATGACTGAGCCACCCAGGCGCCCTAACACACATAGATTTTAAAATAAATAAATAAAATTTAAAAACCTGCTCCTTTTAAATATAACACCAATACCTTCAACAACAATAACAGTATATTTAAGTCGATCACTAAGAACTGGGCTCACTACACATGTGGACAGTGTGGCCCCTCGATCACATGGATTAGAGAACATGTCTCCTTTTCTCACATAATGGCAACATTAACACCAGCTCTACTGTCACAAGTCTGAGAAGGATGGCCCAAGAGCTTTCAAAATGTGATTTACAAATGTCATAGGCCAACTCTGCTAAATTTCTAACATTCTGTAGTTTATCGTTGTCTTTCTCTTCTGAATCACTTCCTTTACTGTGTTGCATTAATTTGGTAAAGTGTTGGGGCGCCTGGGTGGCTCAGATGGTTAAGTGTCTGCCTTTGGCTCAGGTCATGATCTCAGTGTCGTGAGATCAAGCCCCACGTCGGGCTCCATGCTGGGGGTGTGGAGCCTGCTTGGGATTCTCTCTCTGTGCTCCCTCCCCTCCCACCCCTGCTTACACAACCTCTCCCTCAAATAAATAAATCTTTAAACAAAACAAACAAAAACAAAAAAAACCCAGAGCCAGGGGTCTCACCCTCCAGAAGCTTCTCAAGCATCATCACTGTTTCTTACTTCTCTCTGGACCCTCACGCTGCCTGACACTCACTGACTGACCTTTTTGAGGTCTGTGTGCATTAGTGCCTCCCCATTTAGACAGCACGCTCTCCCTGGGCAGGAGCCATGCTGCATGATTCTTTCTTGTATACATTTAAAAATATATACTACATAAACATATAAACTATATACTACATATATAAACACATATATAAATTATATAAAATGTATATCTATGTTTTTAAAACTTGTCATATGGGAAAGCACAGAAATAATGTTCCTCATTAATAGACTATTATCTAGGTGAAAAAGAGGTATGACCTCTTTGACCTTATATAGGAATCATATGACCTTACACAGGAAATGGACCATGCAAAGAACCTCAGTTTAGAAAACAAATTAGTAAGATACAGTAAGCTCTGCAAGAGACAGAGATAAGAACTAACCCCAAACCCAAATTTACCTGCTAAAGTAAGTAAAATAACTGGTTATGTTCCAGTCGAGTTTACCCCTCAAAAGGTCTATGGAACTACCAGAATCGACAGTTTCTAAAATCACTGCAAACATAATAGAAACTTTCAACAAATGAATCTCTCTTATTTAAAGGCAGAGGGACACACACTCTGCACACATGCAAGTCACTTCAATGGGCAGTAAAGCATGCTAGGCTCTGAAATCAAAGTACGGACAGCTCAGAGGAGGCCGATGTGCTGAAGATGAGAGGCCCAGCAAACAAGAGTGCTGCCCTTTTTCAACCATCCTCAAGGTCACAGTGTATGGGGAACCACACACTTAACTGGTATAACTATTGACAAAAATTGGAAAAGCTAAAAACTGTAATTCAAAGCTATTTCATTATATTCAAGCACTATGTTCCTTATAACCAAATATACGTAGACAGTGGTTAAGTAAAATACAACACATTACTAAAGGTAAGTCAGAAATTCACAGCCACACAGAATAGATGCCCCTGACTCTGGAAGTTCTTGCTTCTCCAGAGGGAAGCGGTCCAAAGCAATTGCGGGGAGTGACGTCAGCCACCAGGGACGGCATCTGCAAACAAGCAAAAGCTCACGCACTACCCCAGCCCATGGCAGCAGCCGCAGGGAGCAGCGCAGCATGGGGGTCCGTGGACCCCGGCCTCCTCTGCTCTGCCTCAGCCTGTCATGTGTTCCCCCCCCTGCAAGTCCCTCTGGCCCAGCCCCCCCAGGCTCCATGCCAGTGGCCCATCCACCTTTCAGTTAGGACAAACCCCTAGGTTTACTGTCCTTACTCCTTGTTTACTAGAAATGTAACCTCCCTTTTTAAATGGGCTGGTTACTTTCTGGAGGACTACCATCTCCTAGTGCTCCAGCACACAGCGCTATCTTAACCACCTGCCCCAGACGTCTTTTCCCACAGGCCCTGTCGCTTTTCAGTCCCTGATTTTGCAGAACACACGGTGTTTTTTCAAGACGTACGCACTGAATTACAGCTGAGACACCTGCTCTTGTGTGAGCTTAGGTTTTTTACATTTGGGTTATGGATGGGGACTCCGCTCTACTCAAGGACACCTCCTCTAGAACATGCACTTCAGCATGGAGAATGCCATATTATAGTATTAGTGATATAAATGTGATTGGTTTTATAATTAGAAAGTTTTATTAGGACTCTTCCAAGTAGAGCAAGAAGCCCCGTGAACAACAGACCCTGGGTATGCCTCGCTAAGCTGCTAAGTTTGATCCTACTTGCGACAGGGTTACAAAGGATGGCCACGGTTGACGCTCCCCGGGAGCCTCTAATTGTTGGAATGTATAGAAGCAAAGATCATTTCAGTTTGGTTCAGGTATAAAGTCAGCAGCTTCAGGCCTTATTTCTGGGGAACAGATACCTCTATGTAATGAAACTAGCAACATCAGAGATCTAAAATTCAAGTTACCTCCTTGGAAATGTAAATTTTATAAATACTGAAAGTAGAGTCAGTCCTTAGGAGAAAGAATTCCTAAATGCTAAATGAAGTTTTAAAAAATACAAATCATTTTTCATTGTTTCAATCATTAAACTTAAGTTAAAAATGTTTTCACAACAGGGTGCCTGGGTGGCTCAGTTGGTTAAGCGACTGCCTTTGGCTCAGGTCATGATCCTGGAGTCCCTGGATCGAGTCCCACATCGGCCTCCCTGCTTGGCAGGGAGTCTGCTTCTCCCTCTGGCTCTCCCCCCTCTCATGTGCTCTCTCTCATTCTCTCTCTCTCAAATAAATAAATAAAATCTTTAAAAAAAAAAAAAATGTTTTCACAACAGAAAGGAAAAATGATAAAACATTGAATGAAGAAAAGCCAGATTCTGAAACAAACAGTGTTTGTTCTGGTTGATGCTCAGTCTTTACCTGTGGGTATTTAAAACAACTCATACACGACCTTGCATATACTACAGGTTAGTTTCAAGAAACGCATACTTGAAGCGGCAGAGCAGAGCGGATGACACCCAAGCACCGGCCCCCACCGGCCGACCCCGGAGTCTGCCTGCATGACAACATTCAGCACCACCAGGGACTCACTGCAAACTTAACTACGGATTCACTGACTCTGTGTCCAAATCGTAACACTGAATCTACAAATGATAAAGTCATTCTCAATGTCCTCTGGCAGATATGTAGGTTTAAAGAAATTTAAATACTGCGTTTTCAAGTTTCTAATACAGATAGCAGAAACAACCAGATGTAGCGTCAGATCACAGAAACAGTTTTATGAGCCAGTGGGTGCTGCGTGAGGAGGGGGGCGCGCCACAGGCCAGCAGTACTCTCCTCAGCCAAACTATGGGGAGAGGCAGAGGACAAAGCCTGGGTCTCTCCCCGACTCCTCAGGCCATCCCGAGATGGGGCTGTGAGAGTCTGGCCCTGGGCCCTGGTCAGGCCACTCCAGGTAATCACGCAGCCCAGCCCCGCGCCCAGACCACCTGGAAGGAGGCTGATCTCTCACTCACTCATTTAACACAGCGCCTACCATGCAGCAAGCACAGATGCCATGGTATCAGTTACTGCAGGTTCCACTGTCACCCTGTCCTCGGGGTAACAGCAACTTCCCAGTGGTCCTAAAGGGGGCACTGAACAACCCGACTTACGCTCCCCATGTGGTGAGCAGACAGGTTCGGGGCTGCCACCGCACTAACCCACCACAAGGCAAAGTCACCTGACAACCAGGCAAACCACTGGGAGAAGAATCCGTGAGAGAAACTCTGGACTCAGGCACGTCTGACACCAAAAACACCTTTGAACTTCCCGGTCGCATCAGCCTATGAATTCCTTTTTGGTATGAGCTAGTTTGTGTTACATATCTGTCACCCGAAAGCAAGAGTCCCAGTCAGCAAAGTGACGGAAGGTGAAAGGGACTGGTTTGATTATTAATTGCTCTAAACGAGTCCTTTAATGAATGAAGTGTACCTGTTTGCATGATTCGGAGACTCCATTGTAAAAGTTGTATCTGAAACTTGTAATCGCCAAGGCCAACCATCACAACATCCTTACATACTGTCAGGTAGGTCTGTAAGAGACACAGATGTGCGGTGTGATTTACAAGAAACTGAGAGCCAAAAAAGGAAAAGGTAATCATGCAGCCCGCGCCCAGACCACCTGGAAGGAGGCTGATCTCTCAGCCTGGTGAAGCTTCTAATATCTGAATGTACTACTAATTATCTCCTAAAGCAAGTGTTTACAAAGATGTTTTACAAAGGAATTTTCATAAAGATACATTAGTTCTCATTTTTATTTCCATAGAAATCTGGAAACCGATTTTATGTCATTCCACAAACATTAATGAAAACCTATTACATGCAAGGTGTAAAACTCCATAAATATTATGCGGTTTATGTTTTGGGAAAAGACAAACTCTGGGTGTTGAAATAACGCTATATTCAAGAAGAGCAACACTACTGTCCAAAGTTACAACTTTAAAATAGAAAATAAAATCTGGAAGCACATCACAGACTTGGTGAAGAGAAAGTTTCCATGTTGTAAGACTTCTAACCTGGATGATTTGCTGATAAACAACCCTATGAAGCTTGAGATATTCTTCTTCTTGATCTTGAATAAAAGACAGAACTTTGTTTTCTAACCAAAACCCAGTGTCTTCCAAAATGGACAGGTAAACTTTCCCTTCTGAGCAGAACTGTCCAACAACAGAAAGACAAATTAGTAATGGAACCAGCTCTGCCAAAAGACTTTGTATTCAGTCGCACACCCAGGGACAGACTCACCTGGTGCTGAAGATGAATACTCAGCCGGCAGTGGAGGCTGAAGGCTCGCAGGGCCATTGCTTCATTAAAGTTATGAGGTTTCCCACCTGGCAACTGCAAAATTGATTCCAGATCGGCCTGCAAAATAAAAGAACCTGTGGCCATGTTCCGACTACTAAGTCACTACCACACCATATAAGTGAGGATATTCTGAAGAACCTGACACGTAGCTACAGTTGGAGGTGATCTAATAACACAACAAAACTGAGAAATGTACAGTTTTCCCTTCCTCTCCCCCCAGAAGATCCTCCCTTCTAGGTTACTCATTTATTTAATTTATATTTTTTTGTTTCGAATTTTTATTTAAATTCTAGGTAGTTAACGTATAGCATAATATTGGTTTCATGAGCAGATCCTCCCTTCTAAAGGACAAGATAAAATCTCTTAACAGTTGTTGCTCAGGAAACTGTCAGGATCAAGCACACAAAGCATCTGCCCCTGGGGCAAACTGTGACCTGCTCCCAGCCAGGGGGCTATGAGCCCAGACCATCAAAGGAAAGAGAAAGAAAGGCAGTTCCTCGGGAGAACAATGTTCTGGCCACCCAGGCAGGGCCAGAGCCTCAGCTTGCCCACAGCTCCCTAACCCTGTACCTTAAAAGGACGAGTGCCTTAGAGTTGGGAAGTGTTGGGGAGCATGTGTTTGGTTGTCACATGGACAGGGAGTAGGGCTACCATCTGTGTCCCTACTAGCGAAGCCTGAAGGGGAACGCGCCCACCCACCTTCCCCAGAACCCACAGGTCGCCCTACTTTGGGCAGCAGCACAGCCAGCGCCCAGCTTAGTCCACAGGCAAAATCCCAGCACCTCCTACCCGTGCCTGGCTGCCAGCCCTGGCCCATGTCCTGCCCTGGACAGCTGTGCGCCTCCTTCTCCTCCTTCAGACCTCTGCCTCCTCTTCCCCCATCTAATGCTGGTACTAAGCACTGGAGGGTCGGCCTCTGGCTGACCAAACCAGCAGCAGTCACAGAGGCAGTCGCTGACGGCTGGCCCTGGAGATGGCCAGAGAGCCAGTGAGGAAGAAGGAAATATTGAGGTCACAGGAAACACCCTCCAAAGATTCCTAGAAAAGCCTGCCAAGGACTGTGAGGGGAAGCTAGTATTTCCATATCGATGCGTGACGAGTACAGCAAGAGAAGTACAGGAAGAAGTCTTCCTACAGACTGGTGTGTTCTGAGAAAGAGGGCTATCCACGGGCCTGGAAACTCTAAGCTAGCTCCCCTCTTGTCCCGCCAGTTAGTCACCTGAGTGTCCTGTCCTTGTCTGCAAATTGAAGCAGTGGGTTAGACAACTCTCAACTCCTTTCCAGCCGGAAAAATTTTGTACTCTAAGTATGAAAAATTTAGGTCTTATTTTGTCACTTGTACTAATTACATGGACTCACTCAACTCTCACGGTGTCCATATCTGTTCTATAAAGTTACCTTTGACATTTCAAGTGCTTTCAAAAGGTGGTTAAGTTTCTTCTGGGGAGCAGAGAGCAGGCACTGTCGATTCTTTGGATGGGTCAGCAAATACTCTATGTAAACCAGGGCCAATTCAGGTTTTACTGGGCGTGTGTCATGGATTTGCACTTTCCGTTTAGATGCTGAGTTACTCTGAAAGAACAGAGCAAAAACTGACAATTAAAACACACGTTCTGGGGTGCTTGGGTGGCTCAGACAGTTGAGCATCTGCCTTCGGCTCGGGTCATGATCTCAGAGTCCTGGGATCGATCCCGCACTGGGCTCCCTGCTCTGTGGGGGGTCTGCTTCTCCCTCTGCCCCTCACCCCACTTATTCTCTGTCTTTCAAATGAATAAATAAAATCTTTAAAAAAAAAATAAAACACATGTTCTCGGGAAAACATGATTTCTAACACACACATATCCTCATTCAGCAATATTAAAGAAACATGACAGAAATACACCTTGTTCTGGGGTTGTTCTTCTGGCAGCCAGTCGCAGATGAGTTCCAGAATGTGTCCCACTTGTCCCCAGGAGCAGAGACAGTCCAACAAAGTACAATAGCGCTTGTCTGCTGCTCCTTCCTCCTGGTTTCTTAATGTGGAAATCACACCACAGCTGAAAATGTCGAATATATAAAATCAGATCTAACATTTCAGTTAACAGTTTCCCACTCCTCAAAAAGGTGAAAAAAAATAAGCTAAAAACTGAAGGTACATAAGGCCCTCTTATCGTAGGAACTCTTGGACATTCTCCACTACAGGAATAAATATAGTTTCCCACAATTACTACACAGGATAAGTTCCAACACAAAACACGGAATCTGAACACAGCCTGAGGAACACTGAAGTCAAGGCAGTCCCATACGAGTATTAAGTTACCAAGGACATGCCAGTTCCATAAAATCCCCCACTTTTCTCTGTCATCTCCATCAGACTCTAGAGCAAAGACTCCTAGTTTTTTGGGAATAATTTTTTGCTTAGCATCAAAACATTAATTTTTTTCATAAATACGGATAAAAATGAGTCATTTTTACTGAGATAATAACCAACACTCTAGAACGCCACCATCCAGTAAAAAATACAACATGAGCTACAAAAGCAAGCTACTTAGGTCATTTTAAATTTTCTAGCAGCTACCTTAAAAAAGTAAAGAAAAGCAGGTACAATTAATTTCAATAATATATCTTATCCAACCCACTGTCTCCACAATGTTGTCTTCAGGTGTAACTGACAGAGAGCCACTAGCTCTTCGTGCTCCTCCTTCCACATCAGGCCCTGAGCCCACGTGCACTCTGCACCTTCAGCACATCTCAGCCCAGGCAGCCACACGCCAGATGCACACAGGCAGCATGACTCCGCAGTCCCTTCATGCTGGGCTTGAGAAACACCCACAGACATTAAAGTGGACAGCTTTAGGGCCACATAGGCTCTTCCTATACTCCTTAGCAACTCCAGAGCCCACTGGAAACTGCACCCTGCTGCTTTCCCATCACCACTGTGAACTTAAAGCTGAAGCATGACCCACACATTCTGCTGAATGTCACATTAGTAACTACGACGAAGGCAGAGAGAGAGAGAAGGAGGGAGAGACAGAGAGAGGAAGGAAACCTGGCAGGGTTCCCACTCACAACGAGAGAGAGAGAGAGAGAGAGAGAGAGAGAG